TGGTGTATAATGATGTGATTGTGATGCTGTATTTCTGAGTGTTTTATGTGCTGCACAACAGGAACCTGCTGTAAAACAACAATTATGCTGAGTCAGGCTTGATTTTTAGTAATCTTTTCTTGTTAAATCAATAAATCAAATCAAATAAAATCAACCACTGTATCACTATAACTTTACAGTATATCATAGGTTAATGTATTCATTATACCATAAATTCCAATTTTTGATGGTTATAAAGGTATTATGAACATTTTTACATTAAATAACCATTTTTCCATTACAGTTTTAAAACAAAACAAATGTTATAGCTGAAATAGATTGGGTTTTACATGTGAATAGTTATGATGGTTTATTCTGCTTTGCAAGATTTTTGGCAGAAAAAAAATATGTATATAATCTTCCACATAGAATGACATGGTTATTCCGAGGCAACAATTATCTTTAAAATATTTGGTTTGAGTCATGCTGAGATTGATTTGGGTAGGTATTTAAGCTCACTTCTGTTTTAATACCCATTTGTTTAATTTACATAAGTATTTTATGTTTTTTTAATAAAACCTATACAAAACTGCAAAATAAATGAACGTACATACTTCATACATCAGATGATGAAGTACCTCACATGTTATTACACACAGGTTCATACTGCTTTTGCTACACTGGGACCTAACTGGTGATGCAAATAAATGCTTACCTGAAACCTGAAGAATGGTAGAAACACTCTGATCTGTGAAGAATAGGCCTCTCTTGGCTTTACAGCAGTACTCTCCACTGTTAGAATGAGCTATAGAAGGTAAACTATAAGTACTGCTGGGTGAGTGGATTTCGCTTCCATTATGGTACCACACATATTCCCATCCAGAGGACACATCAACATTGCACGTGAAGGTGATCGCTTCTCCAGGATACATCATGTCAATGTCTGAACTTCGTGTCAGAGCAGGCTTGGGTCTGTTTGCTGTTAAAATCAAACATGGAAAATGGAACATTATAATGTTAAATCATACAAATAGGGCTCAGTGACAGCACTATACAGAAAGAAAAACTGACACATTCCCACACCTAAATTTAGGTTTCATTTTTACAGAAGTAAAAAAAAAATACAAGAATCCCCACCCACAAACAGTTCCTTATTTGTAGCTTTTAATTTAGCCTTTAAACCCTATACACGTCTTTATATGGACATTCAGACAAAATCAAATGTTGAGCTAAATTGAATGCAAAGGAGCTAATGCCACACATGCATGTTATTCTGCTGCCATCTGTGAGAGTAACTTCAAAAGTAAAGAGGGTGAACGCTAATTTTTGTGTTGCTAGTCAACAACTTAATAACACCAACACTTTATTTTCTTCCTTTTTCCATCTGCTCCTCATCACAGTCTGCTAAAAAATTCGAGACAAAGGTGCTTGATTAAGCTACTGTATGACATGTATTTTTTCCCACCAAAACAATGCAGAGCTTATGCTTACAGTATCTTCTGATACTGTCATAGTAGTGTGTGTGATCTCTACAGTAACAGAAGTCAATTAAAATTTTAAAAATTGTCCTGAAATCTTCCAATTGACAAGTTACACAATTCTACACTGTGCTACATTATGTTCGTATGGATCCATTTGTTGATTTTTCTGTGCTCGTGAGCAATAAAAAGCCTCACWAAGACAAGATGAAAGTGACACATTATCATATTCTTTTCAACACTAACCCTAGTGTCCCTGTTGTTTAAAGAAATTGTGTACCATAATCGTTTCAGGATATCTGGGTATTTGATACAATGAGCACAAAACTTACAATAAACTTTGAGTTCAATTTTGTTGCTGAATACCGAGGTAACATGTCTGGATTCAAAGTGAGTTTTACAGGCATAAAATCCTTTACTGGCTTCAGTAACTGATGGGATTTCGAGCGATGATCCTTGTTTATTGAGTGGTTTATCATCTCTGTACCAGACGAAGGTCCAGTTRGGGCTGCTCACTTGGCAGCTGAACTCCACGGCTTCGGTAACAAAAAACATCAGAGATTTTGGTCCGCTGTGTCAAAGTGGGTGTTGGTCGGTCCGAAAAGAAACACATCCACACAGAACATCTTTAACCGCAAACTTAAATGTGTTGTGTTGTCTAAATAATGGTAATGGCAAGAGGAACGCTCCCTGAATGAATAAATTTAACCCTCAGCTGTTGAGAACTGAGCTGATTTGCCATAAGATAGAGTTTAAGCTGTTCATGAGCCATTATTTTGATCGGATGCCTCTGTTAACCAGAGTTTAAAGAGTATAACATTCACACTCCTTACCACTGCCTTGGTTGCTTTTTAAAATACTATAAATATGGAAAAATGAACAATTTAACAAAAGACTATAAAGGAATAACTGATACCCTCCCAAGTTTRTTTGTAGGAATAGGAAAACTATATTTTGTTTAGGCTAACTTTAGCTCCAGAAAAGTTTCTGTATTAGAGCTGGTATTGGTAGCTCTTAAAAATGCATCACATTAACTTGAGATAAAAATTAAAAATATAAAAAAATCAGTTCAGTTCAGTTTGTTTAAGCACTGATTCACAACAAAGTCATCTTAATGGACTAAACAAAAACATAAACCTGGAGCTATAATGAGCATGGACTTGTTTGCAATTCAGAACAAAGAAACCAAAGTTACTGTTACAAAAATACTATCATGCATTCTTATAAAACAAACAAAAAAAAAAGACTAGTGATGAACCGTAAATAAACTTACCAGTAACACTGACTGAAAGCGGGTTGCTAGTGTTAGTGTTGACACCTGTTTTTGTTTTGTGCCGTCCATGACAAGTATAATTGCCAGAATCAGCTGTTGTCACTGAAGCAATTGTGAGCACAGACCCATCTGCTGAATCAGACAGATGTGGTTCGATAAAAGTGGCATCCTTCTTCCAGGAGATGGTCCAGTCAGAGATGTCAGGGATGGTACACTTTAATTCCACTTTCTCAGTGGTGAAGACATCTAACGAAGCTGACTTTAGTTCCAGAACAGGTTGTGGAGACACTGAAAAATGTCAAATGTTAAATCATTTAAAAGTTGTATTGCAAAGATTAAAATGACAGGAAGTGTTCTTAAATTATCACATCAGTGCCAAATTAATCATTTAAAAAATGTCAAACAGTTCAAAGCCCATAGAACACCAAGATAGTACATGGATCTAAAACTTCTAATTAGACTGTTGACTGTTTTATACGAAATTAGAGTTCACATTCTCACCAAAGACAGTTGTTGTCAGATGAGTGGTGGTTACACTTTCTGTGATGATCTGGGTGGCTGCTGTAAGAGCAACATTTAGATTAGAACAAGCAGGATTTTTTTTTCTAAATTATATTTGAACTGATAAAACCTAGTGTTAAGACTGTAACAAACAGCTTGCAGCCCTAAAAAGGGGCCTTACGTGGTCAAACATTTTGGTTAAATATCTTTGAAGTGGAAAACAGCTGAATTCATACTTTAAAATGGACAGAATGACCTGAATGAAGCATGAAATAACATTATGTTTACATAAGAGAACACTTGCACAAGTTGACACCTAACTGCCACACTCATGACAATAAAGTACTTCATGTTCCTCATGTTTAGTTCCTGAACGTTACTCCGGTCAGATACCAACTTGATCAACTAAATACATTCACTAAAGCATGTCCCCGTTACACATTGAATAAAYTGTGAACATTGTTAGTGGACRGAAAACGGTGATCGTTTCCAGTTAAAACGYTGAACCGGCTTAATCAGCTCAGCGCAAAACTGTATAATGTAACTCAGCGTTAGACTTGTTTTCCTACCAGTRGCGTCATCCTGAGCTGCACAAACAGCAGCCAAATCTGTCAAATCAAATAAAGAGATAGGTTCAATGACAAATTGAGTACATGTCATCAGATTGGAATCATAAAAAAAAAATTAACAAAGCAATTAAAAACTTACATATCACAGCGAAGACCTTGAGAAGCCACATTTTCCATTGAGCCTCACACGTGGAGGCTGTGCTGCTGAGTKGAGTCATATATCTGTCATGTAGTCAAGTTCAGCAAAAGAAATAGCTTGAAGTTGAGATGGGTGTGTGCAGCGTATTCATTTCTGTTCTCACCTCAGGCAGCAGCTTTCCTGTCTCTCTGTCATCAACTTTGTGTGTGTTGCTGAAGCAACAGGAAGCGTGCTGGTGAACCGCACTCACATATTTAACATGCTGATTTGTGCTGAGATGTGGCACAGAGTTAGGGGAAATGAAAGAAGTTAACAAAAACAAAGGGATATTTCGATGCTTTCCAAATGTATCGCCCCGCAATAAACCCATCCCAGGGCTTTACAGATAGGAAGTTTGAAAAGGTGGAAAAATATAAAACTTTTTTTAATCTCAAAACATTGTTTTATTAATTATTTAAAGAAACATTAAGGAGCCACAAGTCATAATCAAAGTGTATAAAAAACATGCTTAAAAGAAGGTAGAAGAGTTTCRGACACCTTTTTGCATGATTTGAATGTTCGAGCGGAAGCTACAGTTTTTTTTATCAACTTTACCACAAACTCCACAACATCCTTTTGTCTTCAGCAAAAAGTGACACCCTAGAAAAGCAAATTAAGAAAATGGGCTTTATAATAGCTTATCTTTACAGAAAAACTTTACTGAAAGACATGGATTACATGTTTCTGGAGTTATAAACAAGGATCCTGCTGTGTAGACTGAGTTTTAGCTGCTCAAGTTTTAAAACTGTGTCAAGATACAACTTCCTGCACGTCTCAGCTGTCATGTGCCAGGGATGCAGCAGGTTTCTGTTCCTGTCAGTTTTGACTCACTACGCTCATCATAAGGTGTCTACGGAAGGCCTGAAAGGCAAGAAGGGAAAAATTTTTTTTGAAGACCCATATTCTAAGTCTGATCAAATTGTCTGTTTCTCTTGACTTTAACCATGACGGTGTATTAGGGCCACTTTGCAGATGAAAAGAAAAGGAGGAGCAAATCTCTGAGAAAAAAGCTCAGAATTTCTGAGATTAATTTCAGAAATTTTCGAGAAAA